CTAGTATAGACTGTCAGGTGTAACTAGCATTATGACTAGTATAGACTGTCAGGTGTAACTAGCATTATGACTAGTATAGACTGTCAGGTGTAACTTCAATCAAACAAATTATAACAGGGTTCGTGCTACTCCTTAAACTCCTTGAAAACTCCTTGAATTTAATTTACATTTTCAAGGGCACTTGAATAGCTCTTTTAGCGAAACTCCTTGAATTTTTGCTTTGATCATTACTTGCATGGTTCTGAAATAGATCTAGTCAGAAAGATTGGAAAGTCTGAAAGGCGGACATGTGCAACCACGGTGTGAAACCTTGGCATAGTTAGCTGAACATACTCCTTGAAAATTCATTTTTGGGTCCTTGTATACTCCTTGAATAGTCCTTGAATCTTAAGTGGTTACCTCGGCACGAACCCTGTTATAACTAAATGGAATTACCACTGTTTCCAGGGTTTCAGGAGGTCCTGAAAGTCATTGAAAAGCTTTTGAAAAAAATACAAATATTTGAAAAGTCCTTAAACAGGGTTCCCAGGGGTCGGGGAAAAGTCAGGGAATTTTTTATTTAGTCAGGGAAATTGCGATTTTCACCTAAAGTCAGGAAAAAGTCAGGAAATTTTGTTTAAAGTTAACCATGAGTATCTGTGTGATACTCATACTGTTTGCAGTTTTCAGATAGACTTGATAATTCTTTGCAAATATTGAAAAAAATATTGAAGTATTTAGTATCATTTATACCGGACAGTTTAATTACACTGGGTATCCTGTGTAATATGATAAGAGTGGGGCCTAGGTAAAAGTTAGGCATGTGGCCCATGCTCACCCATGGGGCTCAACAAGGTCAGTGAAAATTGTTATTTAGTCAGGGAAAAGTCAGGAAATTTTTATTTTCAAAATGGCTGGGAACCCTGTTAAGTACTTCTTGAAAATTTAAAATGTTCTGTCGATGCTGTGAGGTTTGATGAGGAAATGATAAAATGCAGTAAAAATATAATTTGAACAAACAAATAACTTTTTTTCACAACAACAAATAAAGTTTTAAACAAATGAGGATTCAAATTTTTGCCCTTAAATACTCGTTGATTTTATTCTTGGGAGTCCAGTGCAAACCTCTTGTTTTCGTAGACCCTATTTCCACCCCCGAGCAGAATAAATTTGAATACTTTTGTTACTTGTCATGTTAGGGTCAAACACATCCACATGTCCAGGCACAAACCCAGGGACAGCAGCAGCAACAACAGTTTCAGAGGCTCAAGGTCTGTAGATATCACTCACTTTAGCCTTTGATTTACAGTACCTTTTTGTTTAGAACCTTTCACCTTTCAATTAGAACTTAAATTTGTAATTTGTTGTTTAGGTGGAAGATGCTCTTTCCTATCTGGACCAGGTGAAGCTGCAGTTTGGTAACCAACCACAAGTTTATAACCATTTCCTGGATATCATGAAAGAGTTCAAGTCTCAAAGGTCAGTATTATACTGAGAGATACAGTACAGCCCAGAAACATGGGAACATTTATCGCAAACTTAACGCTTTAGAGTTTAATTGAAATCTTTGCGTTGTGTTAAATGTTACTTCAGCCGAGTTTTTTCCGAATTTTGTCTGTTTGTCTGAATCGACCGAACAAACAGCTCGAACCGGCTAAATATTCAAACTCGAAGATAGAACCAAACAGAATCTTTGTGGAACAGATTTTTGTGGAAGAGAAAACTTAAGTCAGGATTTGCTTGCATTTTGCTCGCGAGCACGCAGTGATGGCGATGAAATCACGAACAACAATAAAGAAAGGTGCGAACAAATCGCAAGCAGATCACGGGCAATTGGTGCAATCTGCCCGCGATCTGCTCGAGATCAAATGTTCCCATGTTTTTGGGCTGTACTGTACAGTATAGGGCTTGAAATAACTTCCTATAAAATAAGTCACTGGTCATGATCACAGGCCTAATAAGTTTAAGCTTAGTCATACCTTATTTCTGGCTCAACGTTACTGGACAAAATGACTGGCATGACAAAGACTTGACCAGACAAGTTCCAATTCTGGGCGGACATTGTCTGATGTCTGGTCGTTTTTTTAAGCTCTGACAATACAGCCTAGAGGTGATTCAAGGTTCACTTGAGTTTGTTTAAAGAGCATAACACATTTATTTACCATTTTTATCTCTGGTTTCACACAAACTTTGGTCATTTTTCACTCTAAAAAAATGCAACCAAGATTTGTTTTAATTGTATTCATAAGAGGCCTCTAAATATTGAGCAGTACATTGCTTGGGATTCCAATTTGAAAAGACATAAGGTCCACTTTTAATAATCTGCTTGAGTTAGTCAGGAATGAAACCAATATTATTGTATATGGCTTCAAGAAAACTCTGAAGTAAACATCTGTTAACATCGTTAGTTATCATATCAAAGTGTGAAACCTGGTCTCTCCAAGTGCAATGCCTGTTGTCTTTATTTATCATTTCATTCTGCAAAGAACATGCGTGATATGGAAAAAAAGAACATGCCTGATATCAGCACTTCTCATCTGCTCGCGCTGGGTACGATGGGGTTTAGAGAGAGTTCGAGCATTTATTTGCAGAAGTAAATGATAAACAACTTATCAGTAGTCCCTCGTAAAAATATACAGCCGTATCAGATGCTTAGCTGACTGATTACCCCTAAACCTCTATGTATTACCATTGCAAGGTTAAGGGTTAATGTGTTCCCTAAAACAGTCTCACAATGTATTGCAGTTCCAACTCATCCCAGTTTTTCTCAACCTCGGAATGGCTAATAGAGACAGACAGAAATACAGCCTGAGTAAAAACAGTATTATTAATACCTTGCATGTGTTATATATCCTACAGTATTGACACCCCTGGCGTTATCAGTAGGGTATCCACTCTGTTCAAAGGACACCCAGAACTAATTGTTGGCTTCAATACTTTCCTTCCACCTGGGTACAAGATAGAAGTCCATGCCCATGATCCTGGCAGTGTATCAGTCACTGCCCCAACAGGATTGACTCAGATATGCCCTGGAGTAAACCTACCCATTGAAGTGGTAAGTATTAACTTTCTTTACCTGGGTTGAAATTCACCTTTTTGACGCTAGCCATCATTAGTATAACTAGCGTTGCAGTCACCAAAAACCTGGAAGAAAACTTGTATGAATGTGCTGACTTTTAAACAAATGTATACAGGATTACTTTAGTTGGCTCTGTAAATAGAATTTTTTTTTCAAACTCAATTGAAGCTTTTCTTGCTGCTTTTTAAAGTGCCTATGACCCCAAATTCAATATTTTCAGCATGGACTCTACGAGAAGTGAATAGTCGAGTCGAGTGAATAGCATACTTGAAGTATAAGCCTTGATATCTCCAAGATGCATCACTCAAATCATATTAAAATATTTTACCATTCGACTATTTACTTCATGTAGAATCAATGCTGAAAATATTGAGTTAGGGGTCATAGGCACTTTAAGAGCTAACTAAAGAAATTGATCTAAATGTTGAAATTTTTTGGTGACCATAACACAATCCAACACCATGTATTCCTTGTGATGACGAGCGCCGAAAAGGAAAATTAGGCATTCTTTCCAGTACATGTGAATATCACCGCTGCAAAGACGTCTATTTCCTTTCCATGAAAACGATTTTTAATTCCGATTTCAATAGACCTGTTCACAGTTCCCTGCGCAATCTTGAAATGAAGCATCGAAGCGAGACGAACGGTGAGCTTGCAATGATAGAGATCTTTTTTAACAACTTGAACAGTTATTCATGTCTCTATCATTGCAAGCTCACCATTCGTCTCGCTTCGATGCAAAGGCACAGCTACGTTTCAAGATGGTGCAGGAAACTGTGAAGGGGACTATTACACAATAAAGTCACTAAACTCTTGCCAAACTAACACAGACCATGCGGTTATCGCCACAATTTCCACAGGAAGCCCAGTGGATAACAGTTTTGCTTTCTAACGACTGCCATGGGCATTAGCTACAGACTCATTCACTAGTACAGGGTTGGACCTATTCAATTGTTTTAATCATTTTTTTTCCTGGTTTTAGCAACAAATCCAAAGCAACCAAAACCAGGGATACCCATCACAATCTGCCAAACAGCAGCAGCAACAGCAGCATTCACATTCCCAACAACAAAACCAGTCAAATAATTCATCTCAACAGAATCAGGTTTGTATTGCACAGAAACATGTTACCTAATAGTGTATTCAAAATATTGAACATGATCAACCCTTCTCAAAAGTGTTGTGGATGCAAGGTTAACATGTAAATGTATAACAGGGTTCATGCTACTCCTTAAACTCCTTGAAAACTCCTTGAATTTAATTCACGTTTTTAAGGGCACTTGAAAAGCTCTTGAATACTACGATTTTAGCAAAACTCCTTGAAAACTCCTCAAGTTTTTGCTTTGATCATTACTTGCATGGTTCTGAAATAGATCTAGTCAGAAAGATTGGAAAATCTGAAAGTTGGCCATGTGCAACCACCGTGTAAAAATTGGCATATTTAGCTGAACATACTCCTTGAAAATTCATTTTTGGGTCCTTGTATACTCCTTGAATAGTCCTTGAATTTTAAGTGGTTACCTCAGCACCAACCCTGGTATAAAGATATCGCAATTTTCTCAATACAATTTGTGGCATTTTATTTTCATGTTAGCCTTGGATTCAAGACAATTTATTTTAAAAAGACATTGACAACTAGTTTATCAATTGTTTAAAGCAAGTGTGACCACTTTTTAAGAATATTTATTTTTTTGACAAGGTTTGGGACATATTGGCCATCTTTAGAACAATTTATGGAATCAAAATCAAAGTAACTTATGTGAGCTATTTGTACATTGTACATGAATTATTCAAAAATGCAACAACAAAGCTCAAGTGGTCTAATGCTCAAGTGGTATAATCGTAATATGAGATGAACTTGCTTTAATCAGTTGTCTCCAACATACAATCACATTATTGATGTACTTCTTAGATGTTTCTTTAACCAGGTATCAAGTAATCACTCAGGGCTGTAACTAGGGGGGAGCACAGTGTGCACGTGCAGCCCCCCATAAAAGCTTAAGGTTCACTCATCCATCTCCTTTTTTTTGGTTCTGCTTTCTTTTGGTTACCTTTTTTAATTTTTATTTTATTATTATTAATTTTTTTTTTTTGGTTCTGGTTTCTTAAAAGAAACGATCAATGATCCGATTTTATTCGATGTGCACCCTCCCTGTAAAAGTCGTGGTTACGGCCCTGTCAGTCAATTTTCCTTACTGTACCAGTATCTTTATTAATATATATATATATATATTCTGTTATTTCTTCAGTCTCAGCAACCTGTTGAATTCAACCATGCCATAAATTATGTCAATAAAATTAAGGTATTTGAATGAATTTTCTTCCAACTTGGAACTTCTTTTTTCTATTTCCGCATACAAAATTGTGAGATTTAATTTAAAACTCCATTTGATTTTAATAATTTGTTTGAATTTTCCATTACCATCGTTATCGCTTAAGCGTCAACACATGACACTAAAACATGTTCTCATATTCTCATGGTATTTAATTTTTACTTGGAATCAAGTCCTGAGATTTTTGATTATGTTTTTTTTAGAATCGATTCCAAGGCCAACCTGAAATTTATAAAGCTTTCTTGGAAATCCTCCACAATTACCAGAAAGAGCAGAAAAACATAAAAGAGGTCAGCTGCAAACTTCTATCACCTTTTCTATCCCCTTTCATCCATTCCCACACCCAAAAAACACCTAAGTTGTTTATTCATTTGTTGATCCATCTTTGAACCCACCCTGGCCCATCAATCCTTTCTTTTTTCCTGCTTTACGTCGATCTATCCCTCAACTTTCCCACCCGGGCCATTTCATTCATCTGTTACTCATTTCAGACAATGTGTCACTCTTGAGAATGAAAATTCAAGGGCGGATCCAGGGGGGTTGCGACCCCCCCCGTCATTCCTGAGGTCAAATGGGCTTCCTGTGGTAAAAATGCGACTGGGATTCCTTTGCCCACAAAATTTACCCCTGAGACCCCCCCTTCAAAAAACCCTGGATCCGCCCTTCAAATTCTTTCTATCAGTAGAATCCATATTCAAGTGTCGTCTCATGCATGACCGTTAATCAAAAATATGATACTCTAGAGAATGTCATTCAGTCTGAAATGACAAAACATTAGGGCCAAGTGGATATGGCCTATGCTTAACACCCTTCCTTCAATCATCCCTTCCTTCCATCTATTACTTACTATCAATCACGTGACTTTTTGGAGCTGACTGGGGGGCAAAAAAGCAGTTGACTGGGGGGCAACTAACGAATGCTAAGTCAAAACATATCAAAATAAGTCCTCAAACTATTGTATTTGACTATTTTCACGACATCAGACCAGAAAACAAGAGATAAAAACAACCTGCAGGATTCTACAAGCCATCAAAAAAGAGCTATTACCGGAAGTGACGTCTATTGATAGCAACCTATTTATCCATCCCATATCATAACTCCATTTCATCATTATCTGGATTCAAGAAGTAAACCATTCTATTTGTGCTCATTACTCTAGGCCAATCTAGATACAATACAGCTTGGCTGTATAAAGTCTTATTAAATTCTTTCCCCCTACAGGCTGCAATGCAAGGAACTCCTTTGTCAGAGCAAGAGGTAATATCCTAAACAAAGTTTCAGTAATATTATAGTAATGAATTCTACCTGTTAAAAAAGTTTTACTTACTTTGAGAGAAATGACTCTCTGGGGCAGAGCTATCGAACCATCAAGCAAATCTTTATTGAAAAATGATCAGTAAACTACATTCTACATTTTTCTTTCTTTCTAGATTTACTTAAGAGAAGCAAATCTTGCTACTGAAGTAAGTAAAGGTTTTTGTCAGGCTAACCTATGAAAATGATTAATGTCTGTGGTGGTATTGTGTCTGATTGCAGAATGTGTATAGGCCGGTTAAGACGGTATGATTTTCGCCTACGACTATCGTATACAACCAAGGGTGGATCCAGGGGGCAAAGGGGGGCTGAAGCCCCCCCTTCAGCAGAAAAATACTATGCTTTTTTATTGTTTTYCGTTGTGTTGACAGAAGAAACTCAATTAGCTCCCCTAAACTCAATTAGCCCCCCACCCCAAATTTTGGCTGGATCCGCCCTTGACAACACGCTCACGGCATCCTACAACTCGAGTCATAGCATGTAAATTAAGCCTACAACCTGCCTACGACAGACGTGTGCAACACGAAAAAAGTTGTAGGATTTTAAAACATGTTTCAAGAAGCTACAACAATCGTAGGTGTCATGACGTGAGCGCATACGATAGTTGTAGGCGAAAATCGTACCGTCTAAACCAGCGTTAAGATGTGTATTATATTGGTGATGTACATAGTGTGTGTTGTGGTTTTATATTAACTGAATATGGGTATCCAGTCTTTTTTATTCAAAGTCTCTTCAATCCAGGTCTTTTTGAACCAGGTTCAGGTCTTTTCGAACCACTTATATACACTTTCGATCCACGTATATACACTTTCGATCCACGTATGTAACTAAATCATATAACAAGTCCTATATGCTGTGTACATGCAGGGAGAAAACATTTTTTCTTGGCTAAAGACTTTATGTTGGAAGTGATTATGGGGGCTAACTTAACTTTGTAAGCAATAAAACATCAAACACAATACTTGGTTCCCTCAGTTGGTTTACTTGCTGAATTGGTTCACTTCTTCTGTGATATTTCTGTAATATTTCCGAAAGAAAACACTAAACATCTATAAAATATTTCATAACTGTATTGGATCGAATGTGTATACATGTGGAGCAAAAGTGTATATAGGTGGTTCGAAAAGACCTGGATTGAAAAGACAGGTGCTCCTGCATGTTTTTAGGGTTCATGCTACTCCTTGAAATCCTTGAAAAGTCCTTGAATTGAAAACACGTTTTTAAGGGCGCTTGAAAAGCCCTTGAAAATAGGGGAAAACACCAAAACTCCTGGAATACTTCTTGAATTTAATGCAAACTTAATGTTATTTCTAACTTACCTTTTAAAATAAATAACGATTAAAATTGATTGAAGAGTTTCTGGTTGCTTGTTTACTGGTTGGTTGCGTGTCATGATCGTTTTTTATTGGTGGACGTGGCCCCGGCTGAATTAGCTGCACTGTAACATTGAATCAATAATTAAAACACGTTCTAATACGAAAAGCTTTGTCCTTGACAATCGAATTTTTGTGCTTAAAAAGTCCTTGAATTTTGTAACGAAAATGTAGCAGAAACCCTGGGTTTTGTGATGATATCTTGGGTAAAGGTTATTACAGCCATTGTCAGATATGATATAGACCCCTTGCGGCATGTTGGAATGCAGCTCGTTTGGAGGATATAACAATAACCCTTAATAGATTTACAGTTCTCATGAGATTGAAATTCTTTTGTTTCGTCCTCCAAATTGAGCTGCTTTGACATCACATGCAAGGGGTCTAGTGTATAATAAAGTGCTGTGTATTGCCATGATAATGTCAATCATGCTATGTGTTGTGTGACATCTATTCTGTTCTCAGGTCTACAAACAAGTAGCAAAGCTGTTCCAAAATCAGGAGGATCTCCTGAAAGAATTCAGCCAGTTCCTTCCTGATGCTAATGGTGCTACATCAGGAAACCAAGCAGGAATAAGAACACAGGTCAGTAATTGTGTAGTCAGTCAGTGTACCTGGTTATACCAGGAATAGTCATCTGGTGATCATGATCTTTCAACCTTGTGTAGTCAGTCAGTGTACCTGGTTATACCAGGAATAGTCATCTGGTGATCATGACCTTTCAACCTTGTGTAGTCAGTGTACCTGGTTATACCAGGAATAGTCATCTGGTGATCATGACATAATAATAATAATAAACATTATTTGTTGACCAAATATTATATCGTGACAAGTTATAGAATCAAATTTCCAACTCTAACTTCAGTAAAAAGCTTGAAATAATAAAAGAAATTGCATATTGTATATATACACATATATATATATWTTTTTTTTACTCGTGATTTACTTAGTGGCAATGACCAGGTATCATAGTATTGTTGTACTGCGTTGTTGCTGTAAACCAGATTTGCCCTACTATACAGTATCTAAACGTTTTTTTTAACTTTCATTTATTTTCATTTTATTTTTCATTCCACATTGCTTACTGTACTTCCACTAAGTTTGAGAAAGAGTATCTGGGAGCATAGTACTCGTTAAATCATACTCTGTTTGTATGTTATAGGGATTGATTGCAGCATCTGGTCGCATTCAGAGTCACATGGGTAACCAGGGACGCCATGATTATGCACCTCCATTGAAGAAACAAGCAGGTAAATAAACAACTGATTCTTATCAAACACTGCAACAACCAACTTACCCTGAAACAACCTAGGGGCTGATCTAAGTCAGGGCATGGCTAACTCACAAATCAAACGAACAACCTCTGGGCTGATCTAAGTCAGGGCACGGCTAACTCACAGATCAAACCCTGAAACAACCTCTGGGCTGATCTAAGTCAAGGCACGGCTAACTCACA